TCCCTGCTCGGCGGGAAGTCTGCTTCTCCCTCTAACCCTACCCCCTCTTGTGCTCTCTTTCTCACTCTCTCTCTCTCTCAAATAAATAAATAAATAAAATCTTTAAAAAATATATATATACTTAGCCATCTACCCTATTCTAAAAAAATATTTATTATAAATGGCTATTAATGTTTAAAAAAACAATAGCAGGAATACAGAGTTTGGGCAGTAGATCGCTCACTGCATGACATCTGAAAGATCTTTGACACCCTGCCCTTCCCTTCATGGCCTGAGTGTTCTGTGTCCAAGAGAGTGACAGAGGTCTTGCGTCCTGAGTTAGTGATTTGGGGAGAGAGTATGGTCCTGCGTTTAGTCCATAAGCAATAGTAAACTTTCCTTGCACGATGGCACATCTACAGTGATTAACATAGAGAGATGTAATTAAGAACTAAATGGTGCTCTCATGAACACAGTTCCCTAAATACTTAACTCAGAGTAACTGATGGGCTGGGGAGAAGAGATTCCATCGTGTTCAACAGAGAGCCTTCATGCGTTAGAGAACAGCAAGAACAATGTCACCGGAGGTAATGGAGTTGCAAATTCTCACAATATTTGAATATGGTTTCCGAAACCAAGCCTGTAGTTGGCAAGACTGTACATTCACGTTCCTCCACTGCCATTCCCCTAGACTAACTTCATTCGTGGGACCAGACTCAACCGGCACTGGGGCAAACCACAACCCTGGGGGGTGCAGTGACAAACACTATCAATACTAAGGCCAACCCAACAGCCCTCAGCAGGAACCCAACAGAACGCAGCCCGCAGGCAGCCCTCCCACCTTCCCACACGTCTATCGGGCCTCGGGGTGGCTCCAGGAGGCCCCTGATTCAAAAGTCCCAGTACAGATGTGAGGGAATGCAGGGTCAGAGGCTGTGGGGAGAAAAGTAGCCATGTGAACAGATCTTAACACACCAATAAGCTCACGTGATAGAGTCCCTTTCCACACAGGAGACAGACAATCCAGGAACCCATAAAATATTTTCATAAGGGGCGCCTAGGTAGCACATAAGTTGATAGTGGTGACCAGGGCTTAGAGCGGAATATTCCGAGAGAGTGTGAAAGCCTGCTTCTGCCCTTCCCACAGAGAGAGGTGAAGATGGAACCCCTCCATTCCATCCACCCCCACTTTGGGTTGTGTTCAAGAAATGAAAACAAGTTACACTATTAGCAAATGCTACGTTTTGGTTATGCGTGAGGGTTTGAAAACAATTTTGTCATAATCCGTGATGACGACACTTGTTAAAAACGTATGCTCTCATAGAAGTAGGAGAGATTATGTTAAGTTCACACCCGTTTTGGCATGATGGACTGGGTGTAGGGTGTCTGCACCGTAACCCGGCTGTGTCTGCCCTGTAAGTTAGCAGCAGCAGAAAACCCACCACTGTCGCTGGGGAAACAGTAACAAGCTGGTGAATGGCAAATGTCTTTATGCAGCCCTTCTCAAAACTTTCCTAATGAAACACCCCTTAAATCCTGGAGTGTGAACACAGCCACTGTAAGCATTACTTTTCCTTGAAGTTTCCTGTTTTATCATTAAAAAAATCATGTGAATCCTCCCTCCCCCACCCCCACTAAAAAAAGGAACTTTGAGAAATATGAATATCTCAAGAGGATGTTTGTTTTTTTAAAGCTTCTGGCATAGAGCCAAACCCTGATATTGAAGATGCCACACATAATGGAATTTCACACTCCCTCAGCCCATGGGGTCTCTTGGCCACCAGGGGGTTTGCTCTCAGTCTCTGCTCATCTGCAGACAGTACGGAAGACCACAGACTCATTCTCCGCTGCTGTTGAGGAACATCTTAAATAATACGATTTTCTCAACAAGATGCGGGTTTTTGATTAGCATGGGGCATATGGTGTGACACATGTGGCCAACAGCATATAAATACACATTACACATCAGCGAGATGATCAGCTTTTTGAGAGTAAAGTTTAGTAAGAGTTCGTATTTTCTGTTTTTCTTGAGTAGTTGGGATGGTTTGCTTTCCGTATGTAAGGAAAGACGATGTGAAAGTGGAAGAAATTATTGTATGAATGAAACTTGCATCATTTGCATTTTCATAAAAGATCCTGTCGAAGGTTTCTGGACCCCTGTGTACAGCCGGGACACACACCCCGCCCCCCAAACAGCTCCGATCTCCGCGCCCTCGCTACGTGCCAGGCATCAATCAACCGGCGGTGAATGGGCAGGTGTGGTGACCATCAGGCGCCGCAGAAGCGGGTCACAGACTAGAGGTCGGGGCACCGTCAGGTGACGCGGCGGGTGCAGCGCGATCACCTGTTGACCGCCCGGTGGAGGGGGCCAGGTTGGCAGGGGAGGCTCATCCGTGCGCCACGTCCGGGCGAGGACCTGGAACCCAGGTCATCCGACCGAGAGACGCCACCCACCCGCTCCCGGGAGGCCCCTCTTCCCTCCCAGGCCCGCCCGGCAGGTCCCCGCAGCCCCTCCGGCCGTCCGCCCGCTAGCCGTCCGCGCTCCCGAGCCAGCGCCGGGCGCGAGGCGGTGGTGGCGTGTGCTGACGTCATATGGGCCGCCCGTCCCGGATTGGCCGCAGCCGCCTCACCAGACCGCGAGCGGACGGGCGCGCGGGCGGGGCGGGGCGCGCGGAAGCCACGCCCCTAAGCGGCGGGCCGGGTAGGATCACGTGATCCGGGACCCCGCCGCCCGCCTTATAAGCTGCGCCGCGCGCCCCGCGCCACGGGCCAAACTCCAGGCGGTCCGGGCCTTGACCTCGTTCTTCCGCGAGCCCGCGCGGGCGCCCCTCGGACAGGTACGCGGGGCGTGTTGGGGGCTCTGAGGTGGGCGCGGACTGGGGCCGAGCTCGGGTCGGGAGCCTCTGGGCGGGGGCGTGGGTGGGGAGGTCGGGGCGCCCCCACCCCCTCCCGGGAGCTGGACGGACCCCAGCCCGGCCCCGGGGCGGGGCTGCACCCCTGACCCCGGTGGGCCGGCTTAGCACCCCCTCCGTCCGGGGCCCCTGGTAACTTGCGCTGCGCGCGGACGAGGTGTGGGAAACTTTGGGACTGGACGGGCCAGCACTAGAGGTGCGTGCGGAGGGCACTCGTGGGCCCGCTCCGGTGCGGGGCAGCGCGCGGGCGCGCCGGACACCTGGCCGCCGCCGCCCCCAGCCCGTGCGCGCTCAGGTGGGCCCTCCCCGCGGGACCTGCGGCGCGGGTCGCGCAGTCTGCAGGCGCCCCAGGGGCCCGGGCTTTCCCGGTCGAGCCGCGATGAGTGGGCATCGCCATCCGTCCGACGGCCGCCCCGGACCTGCGCGCCCCTCGCCAGCGAACTTGACGGGGCTCCGTCCCCCGCCCCCTCTCCCTGCAGGAGCGCCGGCCCGCCCCCGGTGACCGATGCCCAGGCTGGACGACCACTGCTGGAGCTGTTCCTGTGCCCAGGGCGCCAGGCACCGAGGCCTCCCTGGAGCCGGGGCCGGAGGGCTGGCGGCCAAAGTGGGAGACATGCTCAGCCCCGCCGCGCTGGCGGCCCGCCGCGGCCCGGACCCCGACT